TGGTTACAGAGGAAGGTTTTGGATTTCACATGGGGTTACCGTAGGCATTGGTTAGGGAAGGACGTCGTTAGGACTCATGTAGCTAAGGGAGGATTGGGGCTAATACCACTACACAGTCACCTAATGAGCATATATGTACAACAGGAATTCTTGACAAGGGGTGAGGTCAGGGGAGTGAGGGTTGATGCGGTGATGAGGGAGGTTCGATGATGGTGGGTGGGGGAAAGACCTTACAAGGTGCAAAGTGCTGTTATTGCACTTATTGGTAATGCATAACCCTAGGGGAGTTTGGGTAGGTAAATTAGACAATAAAGGTATAACATCAGGAGAGGTCATTGGTGATGAGGTTTTCCCAGGATATCAATGGAACACTATAGGCAAGGGTTCAAGAATTTGCACTTACAACCACGAGTTCAGAAAACTGGTTACCGCTTCCTCCACAGGATTTTGGCATCCAAGGCACAATTGTACGTTATGGGAATGATTCAGGATCAGACCTGTGCATTGTGCGGGAAGCCAGAAACAGAGTTTCTCGTCGTATACTTTTGTAACAGTTTACATAAGGTTAGGAATTGGATGTGGTATGTTCTGTTTCATATTTGGTACTTGACTATTTATACGTGTCATGGGTATGCGGGAGAATAGGGGTGGGATGCGTGTCAGAGCACTGTTATGCCATTTTTATAGGACGAAATGTAGGAATAGAGAGGTGTATGGGCAACGTTGGGAGGGAGCCTTTTAGTTGGGGAATAGGAATCTAACGATGGAAATGTTAAAGGAGTATTGAGGTGTAGGTAGGTATATAAATCCCTCGGTGGAGCCAAAGGGTTGGTCTTCCGGAAGGAGGAGGGAGGGAAGAGTTCAGGGTTTTTTTTGCGACAGGAATGTATATTTTATTTTGTGTGTATGGTGATCGGCGTGTAATGTAGGGTGAGGGAGGGGGTCCTTTGTGTGGTCTGGGGTACTGTTTCTTGCCGGAGTGATTGAGTGTCATAGTCTGCAAAAGGGGAGGGGGGAGTGGTACTCAGAACCAGGTTGTGGTTGTCTCATACAGCAGTTTTGTGGTTTTCCTTGTAACGTATACATAGTTGAATATGCTTTTGTTGTTAGTGGTAGAGTGGAAAACGGGATTGGATGTTCAGAATAGTCTGTTATAGATAGGTGGTTAGGCTGGTGTGTCACCAATACTACATGATGTGTTGTAGCAATCTGATCTTGAAATATTTTCTACCACCTCGTATTAAATAAAATTTAAAAAAAAGACATGACAAACCTGCCTGTCGAGTGATAAGTTCACTAATTGAAATATTAATGCATATTGTAGGTTTAGCGCTTCCTTTTGTTTCTAATAGCAATAATGCATTTGTAATATAATTTTGGTTGATGTATAATTTTGTGTAATCTTGTTTTTAACATAGATGTAAAGGGATATAATGCACAGGGGATGAGGGACAGTTTGTGTCAGCACAAAGTTAAACGTTCACTGTGTATTTCCACAATGAAAATTTATAATTTCTGTGGAAGATTCGATAGTGTGTTCTTTTATTTTTTTAATGTATTGTATTGTCTTTAATAAAATATAAAAAAAGTCCTTCAAAACAGAGTATAAATACTAACAGCTGGAGACATCACTGTCCATAGAGAGATATTCTTTGATAATGTTAACTTACATAACAAAGTATAATTACTAACAGCTGGAGACCTCACTGTCCATAGAGAGATATTCTTTGATAATGTTAACTTACATAACAAAGTATAATTACTAACAGCTGGAGACCTCACTGTCCATAGAGAGATATTCTTTGATAATGTTAACCTACATAACAAAGTATAATTACTAACAGCTGGAGACATCACTGTCCATATTCTCTGCCTCAGACGATTTTATCATCTGGAAAAAAATGTCTGAAATTATTTCATTATGAGCTGAAAAACGGTCATAATGTTTAATTAGAGAGGAGGAAGTAGATTAATATTTCTAATGTAGGAAACTACTATCATCAACACCTTTCATCTCTACCTTCGTTGTTTTGTTATTTTATGATTCAAAAGTAAATATTGGCAGTAATGGGATGGAGTGTGGTGGAGTGGGATGGAGTGTGGTGGAGTGGATGGAGTGTGGTGGAGTTTCGTGGAGTGGATGGAGTATGGTGGAGTTTGGTGGAGTGGAATGGTGTGTGTTGGAGCATCCTCAGTCTCAAGGCGCATTGGGACTTAAGATGATAGGCAGTGGATAAATTGTGGATTGTCCCTAACCTAGTTAATGCTTCCCTAAATGCTTTGGCAGTGAAGTTAGTACCTTGATCACTTTGAATAGATTTAGGAATGCCAAGACAAGAGATAAAGATGGTTAAAGCCTTGAGAATGGCTTTAGTATTAATACTGCACATGGGAATTGCTTCTTGATATCTAGTTACTCTATCCATAATGGTAAATAAGTACTGATTTCCAGACTTTGACTTAGGTAGTAGACCTACACAAACTATAATTAATTCTGCAAAAGGTTCCCCATCAGCAGGTATAGGCTGGAAAGGTGCAGGTTTAATGGAATGTCCAGGTTTCCCTACTTGCTGACATTCTCGGCAACATTGGATATGATTCTTCACATCCTGCCATAATTTTGGCCAATAGAATTCTTGTGATTCTATATAATGCTTCAGTAATTCTTAGGTGACCTCCTAATAAAGTATTATGAGCTATATTCAATATCTGAGGTCTAAACTTTGTTGGAACCACTAACCTGTCTGACAGTTGCCGGCCCTCTATCTCCTTACCAGTCTCAGTGCAGATCAAATAATCGTTTTTAAGTTTATACTTGACCGGATGATCCGAAAAGGATTTACCCATGGCTGCCTGAAGAGTGAAATTCAAAGAAGGGTCCTTTCGTTGTTCCTCACGGAAGGACAGTCCCTCGGACATGGAAACAGAGATATCTGGCAATCCTGCAACCCTGGAATAGGAAGGCTTTATCTGGGTCTGTTCCCTTAATTTACGAGGCTCTGGCCAGTTTTCCTCGTAAAATAAACTGGCTATTCCAGGATCAGAGTCGTTCAAGGATAGGTTAGCATTCTCGCCAGACAACCCTTGGGATGTTGCCCGAGTTAAGGCCAACACCGGAGAAGAATGAATCATTTTGTGTTCAGGACATACACTAGCAGTGGTAATGTTATTACCCAGTAATAACATGGCATCTTTCAAAGGAAATCCCTTGGATATACCCACAGACAAGTATCCAGTGTAATATTAACACTGTACATAGATTCTATGCAAGGAGACAGAAAAAATAGCTTCTCCAAAGGCTTCCAGCAAAACGGTGGCTCATACCTCATACCTGGATGTTACTTGACAGTGTAGGTGACAGTATCAAACACTACTGTGGAAAATACTGTATATATTTTCCAGAAATTCAGTATTTATATGTAAATAGATGGCCATACTGTATTTAATAATATTTATATCATAGAAAAAGGAAAGCCTGCGTCTGCGCAGACGAGACTCGCCATTTTGGTTTTGTATTAGAAACGTTGGTGAATGGGGAAGAATTTTTCGTGCTCTAGAGGTTAAAATTGTGCTGACACCTCTCAAATAGGAGGCAAAATTGTTGGATGTGCATTCCTGCATAACTTGAGATATCAGGCGACTGGACAAGACAGCTCCAGGAACCTCAGATAAGCTCTCTAGATTTGTGTATAATTCTGGCCTGTGTTTTCATAAATTTAGTTAGTGAGGTTTTTCTGAGTATGATACAACTTAATATCCAGTCAAATTGGTAAGTGATATTAAGATATATTTTCCTTCTGTTATGTAATTGTGTATATATATAACCATTTATTATTTTTAATATACAGTCCACAAATTTATATATTTAACAGTATTCCTGGTGTATGTATATTTCATTTAATTAATAGGTCCAGAGCAACTTGTGGTTATGACAGTTGTAGGTATCGAAGGGGGACATTTTTGCGACCTAGGTGTCCCAAATTCCTACTTGTCTATGTAACATTGATAAATAATAATTATCTTTGTTATCATTTACTGTTATGTACATAATTAGTTACATTCAGATAAATGCAATTTTCCACAACTACACTGTCTCAGCTTCCCTTGTATGGGGACTCATACCTCATACCTGGATGTTACTTGACAGTGTAGGTGATAGTATCAAACACTACACTGTCTCAGCTTCCCTTGTATTGTGGCTCATACATCATACCTGGATGTTAGTTGACAGTGTAGATGACAGTATCAAACTGCCTCAGCTGTCCTTTGTATGGTGTCTCATACCTCGATGTTACTTGACAGTGTAGGTGGCAGTATCAAACACTACACTGCCTCAGCTGACCTTGTGTGGTGACTCATACCTGGATGTTACTTGACAGTGTAGGTGATAGTATCAAAGACTACATTGTCTCAGCTTCCTTTGTATGGTGGCTCATACCTCATACCTGGATGTTACTTGACAGTGTAGATGACAGTATCAAACACTACACTGCCTCAGCTGTCCTTTGTATGGTGTCTCATACCTCGATGTTACTTGACAGTGTAGGTGACAGTATCAAACACTACACTGCCTCAGCTGTCCTTGTATGGTGTCTCACACCTCATACCTGAATGTTACTTGACAGTGTAGGTGACAGTATCAAACACTACACTGCCTCAGCTGACCTTGTATAGTGACTCATACCTGGATGTTACTTGACAGTTTAGGTGACAGTATCAAACACTACACTGCCTCAGCTGACCTTGTATGGTTACTCATACCTGGATGTTATTTGCCAGTGTAGGTGACAGTATCAAACACTACACTACCTCAGCTGACCTTGTATCGTGACTCATACCTCATACCTGGATGTTACTTGACAGTGTAGGTGGCAGTATCAAACACTACACTGCCTCAACTGACCTTGTATGGTGACTCATACCTCATACCTGGATGCACGATGTCAATGTCTTAATAACAGACATATTCCGAGTGTAGTTATGGCAAAAAAAATTGTCAGTTTTGCAGGAGGTGTGAGTGTGTTGTGTGAGATGCAAGAAGAACACATGTGGACGGTGTTCCTCGTCCGCCGGCGCCAGACTCCACAAGTGAACTTCACCAGGACCTGGCAAGACTACAAGACTGGCTTCGGTGACCCAAGTGGAGAATATTGGTTGGGTAAGTCCTGTTATCTTGTAGTTCACTCTGATGTGTTGTAGCTCATGAAACTCCATGTTGTAGTTCATGTAACGCCATGTGATGTGTTGTAGTTCAAATATTTCAGCACTGAATTTCATGCTGTTCTCAATGTTGTGTTGCAGTTCACGCAACTCTGTTGCGTTCATGCAGCTTCCTGGTGTTGTATTTGTAGCTATTGCTCTGTGTTGCAAGGTAGTTCTTGGAGTTTTTTATGTCGTGGTGTAACACTTTGTGTTGTATTGTAGTTCATGTAGCTCTCTATGTCGAGTTGTAGTTCAGATAGATCTCTGTGTTGTAGTGTAGTTCAAGTACCTCTATGTTTTGTGTTGTAATTTGTGTAATTCATGTAGTTCTTTGTTGTGTTGTAGTTCATTTACCACTGTGAGTTGTGTTGTAGTTCATTTACCAATGTGAGTTGTGTTGTAGTTCATTTGCCAATGTGAGTTGTGTTGTAGTTCATTTACCACTGTAAGTTGTATTGTAGTTCATTTGCCACTGTGAGTTGTATTGTAGTTCATTTGCCACTGTGAGTTGTATTGTAGTTCATTTATCACTGTGAGTTGTGTAGTTCATGCAGCCTGGCCTCAGACCTGGCCGCGGGGGCGTTGACCCCGGAAACTCTCACTAGGTACACTCCAGGTAGTATTATGTTGGAGTGCACGTAGATGTCTCTTGTTGTAGCTCCTGTAGCTCTAAGTAGAGTTTTTCTTGTTCACGTAGCCCTCTGTGTTGTGTTGAAGTTCATTTAACTCTCAGCGTTGTGTTGTAGTTCATGCAGCTCTTTGTGTTGTGTTGAAGTTCATTTAACTCTCAGCGTTGTGTTGTAGTTCATGCAGCTCTTTGTGCTGTGTTGAAGTTCATCTCTCTGTGTTGTTTCTCAGTTCCTAAAGCTCTCTGTGTTGTAGTTCATGTAGCTCTTTGTGTTGTGTCTTAGTTATTGTAGCTCTCTGTGTTGTGTCTTAGTTATAGAAGCTCTCTGTGTTGTGATGTAGATCATGTAGCTCTCTGTGTTGTGATGTAGTTCTTTTAGCTCTCTGTGTTGTGTCTTAGTTCATGTGGCTCTCTGTGTTGTGTTGTGTTGCAGTTCACATAGCTCTGTTGTATTAGAGCTCATGCAGCTCTCAGTGTTGTGTTGTAGTTCATGTAGCTCTGTTGTATTGCAGCTTATGCAGCTCTTTGTGTTGTGTTATAGTTCATTTAACTCTCTGTGTTGTGTCTTAGTTATTGTAGCTCTCTGTGTTGGGTTGTAGATCATGTAGCTCTCTGTAATGTGTCGTGCTGTAGTTCACGTAGCTCTCTGTGTTGTGTTGTAGTTCATGTAGCTCTCTGTGTTGTGTTGTAGTTCAAGTAACTCTCAGTGCTGTGTAGTGTTATAGTTCTTGTAGCTCTGTTGTACTGTAGTTCATGCAGCTCTCAGTGTTGTGTTGTAGATCATGTAGCTCTGTTGTATTGCAGCTCGTGCAGCTCTCGGTGTTGTGTTGTAGTTTATTTAACTATCTGTGTTGTGTCTTAGTTCATGTAGCTCTCTGTGTTGTGTTGTACTTGATATAGCTCTCTGCGTTGTGTTGTAGTTCATGAAGCTCTCTGTGTTGTGTCGTGCTGTAGGTCATGTAGCTCTCTATGTTGTGCCTTAATTCATGTAGCTCTCTGTGCTGTATTGTAGTTCAGGTGGCTATGTTGTATTGCAGCTCATGAAGCTCTCAGCGTAGTGTTGTAGTTCATGTAGCTCTTCTTTGGTGCAGCTCATGCAGCTCTGTGTGTTGTGTTGTAGTTCATTTAACTCTCTGTGTTGTGTCATAGTTATTGTAGCTCTGTGTTGGGTTGACGTTCGTGTAGCTCTCTTTGTTGTGTTGTGCTGTAGTTCACGTAGCTCTCTGTGCTGTGTTGTAGCTCACGTAGCTCTCTGTGTTGTGTTGTAGTTCATATAGCTCGGTGTTGAGTCTTAGTACATGTAGCTCTCCAAGTTTTGTCTTAGTTCATGTAGCTCTAAGTGTTGTGTTGTGTTGTAGTTCATTTAACTCTCTATGTTATGTCTTAGTTCATGTAGCTCTCTGAGTTGTGTTGTAGCTCATGTAGCTCAGTTGTATTGCAGCTCATGCAGCTCTCTGTGTTGTGTTGCAGTTCATTTAACTCTCTGTGTTGTGTCTTAGTTATTGTAGCTCTCTGTGTTGGGTTGTAGTTCATGTAGCTCTGTGTTGTGTCTTAGATCATGTAACTCTCTGTGTTGTGTTGTAGTTCAAGCAACTCCGAGTGCTATGTTGTGTTGTAGTTGTTGTAGATCTGTTGCACTGTAGTTCATGCAACCCTCTGTGTTGTGGTGCAGTTCATTTAACTCTCTGTGTTGTTTCTCAGTTCATGTAGCTCTCTGTGTTGTGTTGTAGTTCATGTAGTTCTCTGTGTTGTGTTGTAGTTCATGTAGCTCTCTGTGTTGTGTCTTAGTTCATGTAGCTCTCTGTGTTGTGTTGTGTTGCAGTTTACATAGCTCTGTTGTATTACAGCTCATGCAGCTCTCAGTGTTGTGTTGTAGTTCATGTAGCTCTGTTGTATTGCAGCTAATGCAGCTCTTTGTGTTGTGTTATAGTTCATTTAACTCTCTGTGTTGTGTCTTAGTTTTTGTAGCTCTCTCTGTTGTGTTGTAGTTCATGTAGCTCTGTGTCGTGTCTTAGTTCATGCAGCTCTCGGTGTTGTGTTGTAGACCATGTAGCTCTGTTGTATTGCAGCTCATGCAGCTTTCGGTGTTGTGTTGTAGTTCATGTAGATCTCAGTGTTGTGTTGTAGTTCATGTAGCTCTGTGTGTTGTGTGGTAGTTCATTTAACTCTCTGTGTTGTGTCATAGTTATTGCAGCTCTCTGTGTTGGGTTGACGTTCATATAGCTCTCTGTGTTGTGTTGTGCTATAATTCACGTAGCTCTCTGTGTTGTGTTGTAGTTCATGTAGCTCTCTGTGTTGTGTCTTAGTTCATGTAGCTCTCTGTGTTTTGTCTTAGTTCATGTAGCTCTAAGTGTTGTGATTTGTTGTAGTTCATTTAACTCTCTGTGTTGTGTCATAGTTATTGTAGATCTCTGTGTTGGGTTGACGTTCATGTAGCTCTCTGTGTTGTGTCTTAATACAAGTAGGTCTCTGTGTTGTGTTGTAGTTCATTTAACTCTCTATGTTATATCTTAGTTCATGTAGCTCTCTGTGTTGTGTTGCAATTGTTGCAGATCTGTTGCACTGTAGTTCATGACAGCTCTCAGTGTTGTATTGCAGCTCATGCAGCTCTCGGTGTTGTGTTGTAGTTAATTTAACTCTGTGTGTCGTGTCTTAGTTCAAGTAACTCTCTGTGTTCTCTCTTTGTTCATGTAGCTCTCTGTGTTGTGTGGTAATTCAGTTAGCTCTGTTGTATTACAGTTCATACAGCTCTCTGTTCATATAGTTCATATAGCTCTGTGTTTTGTGTTGTAGTTCATATAGCTCTGCGTGTTGTGTAGTGTTGTAGTTCATGTAGCTCTGTGTGTAGTGTTGTAGTTCATGTAGCTCTGTGTGTTGTATTGTAGTTCATATAGCTCTGTGTGTTGTGTTGTAGTTCATGTAGCTCTGTGTGTAGTGTTGTAGTTCATGTAGCTCTGTGTGTTGTGTTGTAGTTCATGTAGCTCTGTGTGTTGTATTGTAGTTCATGTAGCTCTGCGTGTTGTATTGTAGTTCATGTAGCTCTGTGTGTAGTGTTGTAGTTCATGTAGCTCTGTGTGTAGTGTTGTAGTTCATGTAGCTCTGTGTGTTGTATTGTAGTTCATATAGCTCTGTGTGTAGTGTTGTAGTTCATGTAGCTCTGTGTGTTGTGTTGTGTTGTAGTTGATGTAGTTCTCTGTGTTGTGTTTTAGTTCATGTAGCTCTGTGTGTCGTGTTGTAGTTCATGTAGCTCTGCGTGTTGTGTAGTGTTGTAGTTCATGTATCTCTGTGTGTAGTGTTGTAGTTCATGTAGCTCTTTGTGTTGTGTTGTAGTTCAAGTAACTCTCTGTGTTGTGTTGTGTTTTAGTTCATGTAGTTCTGTGTGTCGTGTTGTAGTTCATGTAGCTCTGTGTGTAGTGTTGTAGTTCATGTAGCTCTGTGTGTAGTGTTGTAGTTCATGTAGCTCTGTGTGTTGTGTTGTAGTTCATGTAGCTCTGTGTGTAGTGTTGTAGTTCATGTAGCTCTGTGTGTAGTGTTGTAGTTCATGTAGCTCTGTGTGTTGAGTTGTAGTTCATGTAGCTGTGTGTGTTGTGTTGTAGTTCATGTAGCTCTGTATGTTGTGTTGTAGTTCATGTAGCTGTGTGTGTTGTGTTGTAGTTCATGTAGCTCTGTATGTAGTGTTGTAGTTCATGTAGCTGTTTGTGTTGTGTTGTAGTTCATGTAGCTGTGTGTGTTGTGTTGTAGTTCATGTTGCTCTGTGTGTTGTGTTGTAGTTTATGTAGCTGTGTGTGTTGTGTTGTAGTTCATATAGCTGTGTGTGTTGTGTTGTAGTTCATGTAGCTGTGTGTGTTGTGTTGTAGTTCATGTAGCTGTGTGTGTTGTGTTGTAGTTCATGTAGCTGTGTGTGTTGTGTTGTAGTTCATGTAGCTGTGTGTGTTGTGTTGTAGTTCATGTAGCTCTGTGTGTTGTGTTGTAGTTCATGTAGCTCTGTGTGTTGTGTTGTAGTTCATGTAGCTGTGTGTGTTGTGTTGTAGTTCATGTAGCTGTGTGTGTTGTGTTGTAGTTCATGTAGCTGTGTGTGTTGTGTTGTAGTTCATGTAGGTGTGTGTGTTTGTGTTGTAGTTCATGTAGCTGTGTGTGTTGTGTTGTAGTTCATGTAGCTGTTTGTGTTGTGTTGTAGTTCATGTAGCTCTGTGTGTTGTGTTGTAGTTCATGTAGCTCTGTGTGTTGTGTTGTAGTTCATGTAGCTGTGTGTGTTGTGTTGTAGTTCATGTAGCTCTGTGTGTTGTGTTGTAGTTCATGTAGCTGTGTGTGTTGTGTTGTAGTTCATGTAGCTGTTTGTGTTGTGTTGTAGTTCATGTAGCTGTGTGTGTTGTGTTGTAGTTCATGTAGGTGTGTGTGTTGTGTTGTAGTTCATGTAGCTCTGTGTGTTGTGTTGTAGTTCATGTTGCTGTGTGTGTTGTGTTGTAGTTCATGTTGCTCTGTGTGTTGTGTTGTAGTTCATTTTTGCTGTGTGTGTTGTGTTGTAGTTCATGTAGCTCTGTGTGTCGTGTTGTAGTTCATGTAGGTGTGTGTGTTGTGTTGTAGTTCATGTAGCTGTGTGTGTTGTGTTGTAGTTCATGTAGCTCTGTGTGTTGTGTTGTAGTTCATGTAGCTGTGTGTGTTGTGTTGTAGTTCATGTAGCTCTGTGTGTTGTGTTGTAGTTCATGTAGCTGTGTGTGTTGTGTTGTAGTTCATGTAGCTGTGTGTGTTGTGTTGTAGTTCATGTAGCTGTGTGTGTTGTGTTGTAGTTCATGTAGCTGTGTGTGTTGTGTTGTAGTTCATGTAGCTGTGTGTGTTGTGTTGTAGTTCATATAGCTGTGTGCGTTGTGTTGTAGTTCATGTAGCTCTGTGTGTTGTGTTGTAGTTCATGTAGCTCTGTGTGTTGTGTTGTAGTTCATGTAGCTCTGTGTGTTGTGTTGTAGTTCATGTAGCTCTGTGTGTTGTGTTGTAGTTCATGTAGCTCTGTGTGTAGTGTTGTAGTTCATGTAACTCTGTGTGTTGTGTTGTAGTTCATGTAGCTCTGTGTGTTGTGTTGTAGTTCTTGTAGCTCTGTGTGTTGTGTTGTAGTTCATGTAGCTCTGTGTGTTGTGTTGTAGTTCATGTAGCTCTGTGTGTTGTGTTGTAGTTCATGAAGCTCTGTGTGTTGTGTTGTAGTTCATGTAGCTCTGTGTGTTGTGTTGTAGTTCATGTAGCTCTGTGTGTAGTGTTGTAGTTCATGTAGCTCTGTGTGTTGTGTTGTAGTTCATGTAGCTCTGTGTGTAGTGTTGTAGTTCATGTAGCTCTGTGTGTTGTATTGTAGTTCATGTATCTATGTGTGTTGTGTTGTAGTTCATGTAGCTCTCTGTGTTGTGTTGTAGTTCATGTTGCTCTGTGTGTTGTGTTGTAGTTCATGTTGCTCTGTGTGTTGTGTTGTAGTTCATGTTGCTGTGTGTGTTGTGTTGTAGTTCACGTAGCTCTGTGTGTTGTGTTGTAGTTCATGTCGCTCTCTGTGTTGTGTTGTAGTTCATGTAGCTGTGTGTGTTGTGTTGTAGTTCATGTAGCTGTGTGTGTTGTGTTGTAGTTCATGTTGCTGTCTCTGTTGTGTAGTAGTTCATGTAGCTGTGTATGTTGTGTTGTAGTTCATGTAGCTGTGTGTGTTGTGTTGTAGTTCATGTAGCTGTGTGTGTTGTGTTGTAGTTCATGTAGCTGTGTGTGTTGTGTTGTAGTTCATGTAGCTGTGTGTGTTGTGTTGTAGTTCATGTTGCTGTCTGTGTTGTGTTGTAGTTCATGTAGCTGTGGTGTGTTGTGTTGTAGTTCATGTAGCTGTGTGCGTTGTGTTGTAGTTCATGTTGCTGTCTCTGTTGTGTAGTAGTTCATGTAGCTGTGTATGTTGTGTTGTAGTTCATGTAGCTGTGTGTGTTGTGTTGTAGTTCATGTTGCTGTCTGTGTTGTGTTGTAGTTCATGTAGCTGTGTGTGTTGTGTTGTAGTTCATGTAGCTGTGTGTGTTGTGTTGTAGTTCATGTAGCTGTGTGTGTTGTGTTGTAGTTCATGTAGCTGTCTGTGTTGTGTTGTAATTCATGTAGCTGTGTGTGTTGTGTTGTAATTCATGTAGCTGTGTGTGTTGTGTTGTAGTTCATGTAGCTGTGTGTGTTGTGTTGTAATTCATGTAGCTGTGTGTGTTGTGTTGTAGTTCATGTAGCTCTGTGTGTTGTGTTGTAGTTCATGTAGCTGTGTGTGTTGTGTTGTAATTCATGTAGCTGTGTGTGTTGTGTTGTAGTTCATGTAGCTGTCTGTGTTGTGTTGTAATTCATGTAGCTGTGTGTGTTGTGTTGTAGTTCATGTAGTTGTGTGTGTTGTGTTGTAGTTCATGTAGCTGTGTGTGTTGTGTTGTAGTCCAGTTGCTGTGTATGTTGTGTTGTAGTTCATGTAGCTGTCTGTGTTGTGTTGTAATTCATGTAGCTGTGTGTGTTGTGTTGTAATTCATGTAGCTGTGTGTGTTGTGTTGAAGTTCATGTAGCTGTGTGTGTTGTGTTGTAGTTCATGTTGCTGTGTATGTTGTGTTGTAGTTCATGTAGCTGTCTGTGTTGTGTTGTAATTCATGTAGCTGTGTGTGTTGTGTTGTAGTTCATGTAGCTGTCTGTGTTGTGTTGTAGTTCATGTTGCTGTGTATGTTGTGTTGTAGTTCATGTAGCTGTGTGTGTTGTGTTGTAGTTTATGTAGCTGTGTGTGTTGTGTTGTAGTTCATGTTGTGTAGAGAGTACATGTTATGAAGTACATATGATGTACATGTTGATAACGTTACATTATCAGTGAAGATTGTGAATGTCAGAGTGTTGTGATCACCTGCAGGTAATGACAACCTTCACGCCCTGACTAGCGGAGGTCATCGTTACCGACTCAAGGTGATCGCTACCAACCTGCAAGGAGAACAACGATCTGCAGTGTGGGAGACCTTCAGTGTAGCTGATGAACTTAACAAGTATGTGTTAACTCTCTTGTTTATTATGTTATATTCTTCTCCAGCATGTTAGTGTAAGTGATGAAGTTAATAAGTATGTGTTAACTCTCTTGTTTATTATGTTATATTCTTCTCCAGCATGTTAGTGTAAGTGATGAAGTTAACAAGTATGTGTTAACTCTCTTGTTTATTATTATATTCTTCTCCAGCATGTTAGTGTAAGTGATGAAGTTAACAAGTGTGTGTTAACTCTCTTGTTTATTATGTTATATTCTTCTCCAGCATGTTAGTGTAAGTGATGAAGTTAACAAGTATGTGTTAACTCTGTTGTTTATGTTATATTCTTCTCCAGCATGTTAGTGTAAGTGATGAAGTTAACAAGTATGTGTTAACTCTCTTGTTTATTATGTTATATTCTTCTCCAGCATTTTAGTGTAAGTGATGAAGTTAACAAGTATGTGTTAACTCTGTTGTTTATTATGTTATATTCTTCTCCAGCATGTTAGTGTAAGTGATGAAGTTAACAAGTATGTTTTTAACTCTGTTGTTTTATGTTATATTCTTCTCCAGCATGTTAGTGTAAGTGATGAAGTTAACAAGTATGTGTTAACTCTCTTGTTTATTACGTTATATTCTTCTCCAGCATGTTAGTGTAAGTGATGAAGTTAACAAGTGTGTGTTAACTCTGTTGTTTATTATGTTATATTCTTCTCCAGCATGTTAGTGTAAGTGATGAAGTTAACAGGTATGTGTTAACTCTATTCCTTATTATGTTATATTCTCCTGCATGTTAGTGTAAGTGATGAAGTTAACAAGTATGTGTTAACTCTGTTCCTTATTATGTTATATTCTCCAGCATGTTAGTGTAAGTGATGAAGTTAACAAGTATGTGTTAACTCTGTTCCTTATTATGTTATTTCTCCAGCATGTTAGTGTAAGTGATGAAGTTAACAAGTATGTGTTAACTCTGTTCCTTATTATGTTATATTCTCCAGCATGTTAGTGTAAGTGATGAAGTTAACAAGTATGTGTTAACCCTGTTGTTTATTATGTTATATTCTCCTGCATGTTAGTGTTAGAGATGAAGTTAACAAGTATGTGTTAACCCTGTTGTTTATTATGTTATATTCTCCTGCATGTTAGTGTTAGAGATGAAGTTAACAAGTATGTGTTAACACTGTTGTTTATTATGTTATATTCTCCTGCATGTTAGTGTAAGTGATGAAGTTAACAAGTATGTGTTAACACTGTTGTTTATTATGTTATATTCTCTAACATGTTAGTGTAAGTGATGAAGTTAACAAGTATGTGTTAACACTGTTGTTTATTATGTTATATTCTCTAACATGTTAGTGTAAGTGATGAAGTTAACAAGTATGTGTTAACACTGTTGTTTATTATGTTATATTCTCCAGCATGTTAGTGTAAGTGACGAAGTTAACAAGTATGTGTTAACACTGTTGTTTATTATGTTATATTCTCCAGCATGTTAGTGTAAGTGATGAAGTTAACAAGTATGTGTTAACACTGTTGTTTATTATGTTATATTCTCCAGCATGTTAGTGTAAGTGACGAAGTTAACAAGTATGTGTTAACACTGTTGTTTATTATGTTATATTCTCCTGCATGTTAGTGTATACCTGGAGTTTACCTGGAGAGAGTTCTGTGGGTCAACGCCCCCGCGGCCCGGTCTGTGACCAGGCCTCCTGGTGGATCAGAGCCTGATCAACCAGGCTGTTGCTGCTGGCTGCACGCAAACCAACGTACGAGCCACAGCCCGGCTGATCCGGAACTGACTTTAGGTGCTTGTTCAGTGCCAGCTTAAAGACTGCCAGGGGTCTGTTGGTAATCCCCCTTATGTGTGCTGGGAGGCAGTTGAACAGTCTCGGGCCCCTGACACTTATTGTATGGTCTCTTAACGTGCTAGTGACACCCCTGCTTTTCATTGGGGGATGATGCATCGTCTGCCAAGTCTTTTGCTTTCGTAATGAGTGATTTTCGTGTGCAAGTTCGGTACTAGTCCCTCTAGGATTTTCCAGGTGTATATAATCATGTATCTCTCCCTCCTGCGTTCCAGGGAATACAGGTTTAGGAACCTCAAGCGCCCCCAATAATTGAGGTGTTTTATCTCCGTTATGCGTGCCGTGAAAGTTCTCTGTCATTTTCTAGGTCGGCAATTTCACCTGCCTTGAAAGGTGCTGTTAGTGTGCAGCAATATTCCAGCCTAGATAGAACAAGTGACCTGAAGTGTGTCATCATGGGCTTGGCCTCCCTAGTTTTGAAGGTTCTCATTATCCATCCTGTCATTTTTCTAGCAGATGCGATTGATACAATGTTATGGTCCTTGAAGGTGAGATCCTCCGACATGATCACTCCCAGGTCTTTGACGTTGGTGTTTCGCTATATTTTGTGGCCAGAATTTGTTTTGTTCTCTGATGAAGATTTAATTTCCTCATGTTTACCATATCTGAGTAATTGAAATTTCTCATCGTTGAACTTCATATTGTTTTTCTGCAGCCCACTGAAAGATTTGGTTGATGTCCGCCTGGAGCTTTGCAGTGTCTGCAATGGAAGACACTGTCATGCAGATTCGGGTGTCATCTGCAAAGGAAGACACGGTGCTGTGGCTGACATCCTTGTCTATGTCGGATATGAGGATGAGGAACAAGATGGCAGCGAGTACTGTGCCTTGTGGAACAGAGCTTTTCACCGTAGCTGCCTTGGACTTTACTCTGTTGACGACTACTCTCTGTGTTCTGTTAGTGAGGAAATTATAGATCCATCGACTGACTTTTCCTGTTATTCCTTTAGCACGCATTTTGTGCGCTATTACGCCATGGTCACACTTGTCGAAGGCTTTTGCAAAGTCTGTATATATTACATCTGCATTCTTTTTGTCTTCTAGTGCATTTAGGACCTTGTCGTAGTGATCCAATAGTTGAGACAGACAGGAGCGACCTGTTCTAAACCCATGTTGCCCTGGGTTGTGTAACTGATGGGTTTCTAGATGGGTGGTGATCTTGCTTCTTAGGACCCTTTCAAAGATTTTTATGATATGGGATGTTAGTGCTATTGGTCTGTAGTTCTTTGCTGTTGCTTTACTGCCCCCTTTGTGGAGTGGGGCTATGTCTTTTGTTTTTAGTAACTGTGGGACGACCCCCGTGTCATGCTCTCTCCCATGGATGGAAAAGGTCGTGATGGGGCTGCTTGCGTTTTTGTGAACACAGGTTCCATGAGTTGGCCCGGGGCAAGTGCGGGGGCATGTCATTTTCGCCTTTTAAAAGTCATTTGGCGTCGGATAACACGGATAGGCTTGTTTTTTAACAAATTTTGGGGCTCCTCAAAAAAAAATTCTTTTTGATCTTCAAAATTAGTTGGTTAGCGTTGCTAAAAATGAGCTATTGGGACTTGAGGTCCTCTTTTCCCTTGCGCTCTTGTTGGACCCATCTTTTTTAAGTGGGGCCCAAAATACGGGACGTTGTTCTGATTTTGATTTGGCATGGAGAAAAAAAATTTTTTGGGGGTTTCTTGTTTCATTTTTGCTTTTAGTTCCCCCCGCGATTCCTGACCCCAAAGGATTCGTTTACTTAAGTTGATCTTGAATTTCTCTGACCATTGTTCCCTAGCTTTAAATATATTGCCTCTTTTAGCCGCTCTGTTTTTTCTTTTCCGTGCCTGAAAGGGGAGCGCCTGTCTCTTTCTGTTTTAATCTACTCCTCCTTTTTCTTGGGGAAAAAGCCTTGTGCTACTAGAGTGCCCCCGGGTTTAAATCTGTTTAGGCATAAGGGGGGGCTGTGTTGCTTGTATACTTCCCGCTTATATCGGTTGGGAAAGGGTTTTTATTTGGTCCCCTTTATGTTTTCGTTATTGAATTTGAATTTGGTGAATGCCCCTCTGGATAATCTTTTTATGTGGGTTGGGGCTCCGGCATAATATAAAACTAAAATTTGTGTGATCTGAGTATATTGTTTTTGATAGGGGTGACATTTCTTATCAGATCATCATTGTTAGTGAAGAAGGGGCTAGTGTATTCTCGGTTAGTAGGCTTATTATTTGTGGTTTAAATTAATTTTTTTGCAGAGATTTAAAAAACTGCGTGAGTGTGAGTTTTATCAGAGCTGCCTCCTGGTGTCATTACTGCAACAATATTATTTGTATATTCCCCCATTTTAGGTGCCCTTAATTTTAAATCCCCAGGAGCAAGATGTTTTTTTGCGGGTGGAAGGTTTTCCAACAGTGGGGCAATTTAAACAGCTTTCCTGGAATTGTGGGATGTTGCTCCGGAGGCTTGTGACTATACAATGATAGGTTTTGGTTTTCGACCCTTTTCTGTAAAATTCCCAATCATTTGAGGCATTTTTCATTCTGTGCAACAAATGACTCTGCAATATACAGACCAACCCCCCCCTTTTGCCTGTTACTCTGTAATCGTATGGTTTAACCTGGGGGGTCATATTTCGTTGTCCCCAAGGGTCCTTTATGTGGGTCTCAGTGAAAAACCGCGAACAATGCCCTTTTCCTCTGCAAGCAGTTCACGGATGAAAATTTTTTGTTGTTTGCTGCTGGCTTTAGACCCTGTATATTTGCAAAGAAGAATGTTATCGGACTGGTGGTATTGTTGGTACTGGGGGGGGATTTTTTTTCTGGCATTAGTATGTATCTTTTGGTTTTGGAGTGGAGGCCATCGACTGTGGTTCCACTCCCAGGATGACGGATTTGGTGTAACGATTTCTGCCATTTCCTGCCAGTTTTTTTTCCTTCCTGGCACTAAAAAACCTCTCCCCCCTTGAGTGGCTGGGGCTACCAGGTTTTATCCCATGGCCTGGATGTTTTGTATCTTTTTTTTCCCCTTTAGATGGTATGCCTGGCAATTTAAGTTATAGCACAGTCTTTCCTGTACTGAAGAGGGTACACAGTTCGGGGTGAAAAAGCTTACAAGGAAGGGAGTTTGCATTTTCCTGTTGCCCATAGGGGCATGGCATTTTCTAGGGTGGTCATAGTTGCACGCCCCATCTGTTTTTCCAGATTTCCATGCCAGCAGATACCGAGTGCATAGTATTGTGCACAGGCTTGGTTTCCGTTTGCCTTGGGTTTCTGTGACTGTATTCCCTTTTGGGTGGCATGTTTCCCTGCCTTATTTTCTATCCTCCCTAGCACCAACAATGGAGCTCCCACCAGTTGTTTTTGGTAATAAAATCCTCACTATTGCTAGTGGAGTCCTCTTGTTTGCTATTTCCTGCGGTATTTCTAGTTTGCAATATTGGTTTTATCTTATCTTTGACTACATTGTTTCCCTACTATGGCTCCTGTCCCCTATGAGGTCATTTATATGTATTCCTTCCTGCGTAAATTCCCGACTAACCTG